AAGATTTTGTGTTTCAGCAAGATGGTGCAGCGTGCCATACTTCAAAAAAGGCTATAAAATGAATGGCAGCAAAATAATGTACCACTTTTGAAATGGGTTTCTAGCAGTCCTATTGAAACTTTGTGGCACGAGATGAAAAAGGTTCTACGACAACATCCTGCTCGTACAATCACCGAACTGAGACAAAAGCTTCAAGAAATATGGGATTGTTTGACACCAAATTTTTTCCAAAACTTCGTTAACACTATGCCCCAAAGAATTTCAGCCGTAATAAAAAATAAAGGTGATGTTACCCAATGGTAATCTTTCAATTGTTGCTTTGTTAACTTCGCGCATTTATTCGCACATTGTTTATTTGTTCAGATGTTCTATTAGTTATAGGTCTAAGTGATTTCAAATATGAATTTTTTACGACTAGAGTGTATCTAAAATGTTTTTCAGAAAGTAAATTGTTTCAGAAGTAAATAGTTTCGTCATGTTTAGTTTATAAAGGCATATTTTGGTACCAATCTTGAAGTGGGCCAACTGAAGTGGGAAGGGGCTCGTATTGGAACGATATTATTAACGAGGATGTCGAGGAGGTAGTTGAGGAATGGGAAATTGGGAGAGATATTCTTGGGCACCGAGATCCTTTCATAATTTCGGATCGAAAATTTGTAGAGATATTTAGGTTGACCAAAGATTTGGAGTATCTATGAATTGCTGGAGATGTTGACTGCATTCATACAACCACCCTCACGAGCTTCTGCACTTTCGATCAAAACAAAGGCAAGAGTAGATATCAAGTTTTAGTCATTTTCTCTAGTGCATTTGGGGGTGCTCTCGGAGAAATTCAATCATTTTGTCCTTTTGTTCATTTGTAATATGTTTTTTTTTAGTTTTCGGCCCCATAGATAAAATTATGTGGAAATTTTGACCAAAATATTTGGTTAGTTTTCGACTGTCAAAATTATCGCCGTTTTGATTGGTTTAACACGTTTACTCAAACCTGGCAACCCTGCGTCTTGATTTTCTTTCTCCTTTCTACTGAGTCGTTTCAAGAATACGGTATTTTCGTATCGATAGAAAACCGGAAGAGTAGAAAAAGAGAGGGATTGTGATTTTCTATTAAAGTCAAGAATAGGGGCACAGAATGGAAGCATGTGTAACATGCTTCTATTTGAAAACTTCAGACGAAGGAGCTTCCTTATCGTTTAAATATTTTATTAACAGCTAAATAAAACGGGTTTTCAGAAGTGTATTTTTCTATTTTTTTTATATTTGATTAATTATGTTGATATGAAAGTTTACAAATTGGAAGTTTTCCTGCCTGAAACAATGTTTTCGCTGAAAATAAGAATAACCGTAAGATACGATCTGCAGCTTATACGCTTTGCTCGAAGTCATATACTTTGGGACTACCTTGTTTTTCATCAGAAATATCGATTCCATCCCAAATTTGTATGACTAGGAAAGTTCGTTAAGCATTCGGTAGGTACGTTAAAAAGCCGGTCGTTGGAAATAGAGTAAAAGTGGAATTTGAAGCACAAAATTTATATTGCGAAATCAATATTTTTCTCAAATCAACACTTTCTTTCTGGTAGCCAAATAAACAAGCGATCCCTCCTACTTCGTTACGATGCCTGACTCATGATTTGATTGCAATCGGGGATATTCGCTTTGTCTCCCCTACTAAAACAGGAAAAATTCATTAAAAATATGGAATTGTTTTGAGCAAGAATAGTAAAATATTTCCTTCCACCACCGTGGTGTTTTTTCTTTTTTTCTTTGACTGTCTATTTCTATTGGCTCTCCTCCATTTTGTCAGTCTAACAGAATGTACAGTTATTGAAACAAATAGTTGAGATTGTGTTTTGATTTAAACAAATAATGATGTACCTATTATTTGACGTTCCTAACCATACTACACGAGTCCTCTCAAATGCTAATATCATTGACAAGCCACGTGTGAAAAAATCATTAGCCAGACTGATATTGTTCAAACACAACTTCCTCGTTGATCATTACGTGACTAAAATGAACTTTCACGAAGACCAGTAAGTCTATATCTAGTTTTCGAACGAATTAAAAATCAAGGCATGCTTTTTTCAACTGTGATTGTAGCAAATGTAACAATAATACTATCCAAATATTATTAACCTTGCCACTTGCATGCTTCTAAACAAAATGCTGCGATATTTTCATTCTGTCCACCAACAATACGGGTAAATGGGATAATTATTGTTATACATTTCTAACAATTCAGGATTGTCACTATTACATAAACAAAAGTCTGCGTGAAATGTATTTTCACCGAGGGTTATGCACTTCATTAACAGATAAATAATTAAAAAGTTTGGTATGATTGGGATTGGTGGAACCTTCGCTGAATTAACAATGAGTTTATTTATTTCCTGAATTTACGTAAGTTCATATTTGAATGAACATCGAAAGAACGATATGTCGGGAAGCGACCATAAAACCACAACTAAAAACTTCATGGAATATCTAAAAATTAAAAAAAGTTACCATTTAAAAATCTAAAGTGTAACACATCTTGTACTATACATCAAAAGACGTCCACCTAGAAATCAAAATTGAGGTGTTAGAGCGTTTTTCCCAAAATATACCAGGAGTTTCACAAATAGGGGTACGACCTTTTCGTTGGGCCACCCTGAATATATTTTATTTCATTTAATACGACTTTATTGTTGAATTTCAATGCCCCTATATAGTCGTTCAAAGTCTTAATGTATAACTGGAATATCAAGGCACCTAGGAATGTTTACTACCTATAGAGCCTTTTCATTTACCGAATTCACCAAATAGGCAGTTTTGAAATAGCAGTTGTCTTATTTACAAAAAACCCTGCTAAGTGAGACCGAAATGTACTTCTATGTTTGTTTGTTCATAATATTTTTTTTCATAAACTTTGTGGTTTTGAGCAATATAGGATACATCAATTGTATTGAAGATGTCGTTGCTCATATATTTTTACTTGACACTCAACATGTGATCTGTTTATAACAGTATCGCAAAACATATATATATTAGTAATAACATTATTTAGAAATCGTGGTTTCACGTAGTATAACCTCCATGTAAGAACTTATTCAGTTTCGTAAATAAAACACTAGCACGTTCGACTTAGCATGAAAAACAGCATTGTGAGAGCATAACTACACCAAATAAAAAAAATGCTTCATTGCAAACTTGATAGAATCTCCCCAAAAAGATTCAGTAGTGTAACTAAATGAATCTGGTAAGAAATTGCAGTCATAAATAACATTTGTGATGGAAACAAAATTATCTAACACGTTCATAGGCATCCGTAGATGAATGTCACGGTTGTTTATGTCATGGCTGCATAACAATTTTAGTGTCAAGTTCGATGTTCAGAAGAATAGTTCAAATAGTCATCTCAAGTTCATACAGCCGAAAATTCTATGAAATAACATGGTTCTGAGGCTAGATAAGATCTGTCTTGGAATACTGCTGTCATATCTGGATAGCGATCCTGATTACACTGCCAATATGCAGTTTAAAATGACACTGCGCAAGTTAACTGGAATTAACATAGCTGCAAAGGAGAAGTAGTACAGACTAGAATTCACATAAGTATTTCTATCAGTAGGAGTAGTTGTTATTTTTCAAGCATCTTGATCACGTATGCAACAACCTTACTAAAGCGCCTTGTTGCAGCTTGAAAATATAGTTTATAATAAGGTTTGGTTGGGGCCTGCACATAGTCACCTGTCAAACAATATCATTACGTGCATTAACTTTGAAAGTCATGGAGTATTTATTGCTCAGAAACGGCAAGACTAATACTTAACATAAAACCTACCTAATATTGCAGATAGGTTTAAGAGGAAATGATGATCTATTTTCCGACATGCCACAAAATCATCAATATAACACCTAAAACTCATTCAGATGCAATCTACCTCATACTTTAAAAAATGTCCCTTCGGAAATTGTGTGGTTTGATTCAATAGTGTACCTCATAGTATTAAAGCAATAAAAAGCTACGACAAATTCTAATCAAAAGTTAAAAAAGCTTTCTCATAAGACATGTTAAGTGTTAATGAATTTGATGATTTTTAAACATGTTTTTTAAGGTTGTTTTATGTTCTGTGTTTACACTGGATTAGTGTATTTTAATTCAGAGTTTATTGTTGTATTTTAATCCTATGTTTACTTGGACAATTTTTTCAATTGGAAGTATTCTTAGAGCATATTGTATGTTTACCTCTACCTGACATGTCACATGTAGATTGTATCTTTAGTGGTAAATAACTCTAATCTGTATTAGCTTCGGCTTAATACTGACATCATGATTGAATACTATTAGTCAGGCATCTCTATTACAAGGGAATATGAACAGGAAGCTACGAGAATGCATTCTTGGAAAGCGTTGACCCTCTATGACTAATTGAAAAGGCAGCTCTGTAGAGTTGTATCATCACCTTCATCAATGATTTTAAGTAATCGAATATCCAGCCCTCGGGACCTGTATGAAGGATGTGCAGGGAACAAATGACATGAGTATTACTATTTGGCTGATTGTTCTTCCTCCTAACGGTGGGCATTATGTAGATCTGAAGTATTCGATATAAAAGCTCAACATCTCTTTCTCTCTGTTTCTTTCTGTCTTTCTCTCCCTCCCTCGCCAGCGATCGATTAGTGGCCTGACAGTTTTCAGTAAATATCTGTACCAACGGAATCTAAGCTTTCCTTATTGATCAATCTGCTAATTAGACCCGAAAATCAGATGCTTTCGTTTCCAGCTCTGCTGTTCACACTTAACTGGCTGGTTCCTGGTTCGAAATGTGACGGTCTTCCGGATGAATTATTTACGGACACGAATTTCCAATAGAATTGTTTACAAGATTGCCTTTTAAAAATAAAGTTTTCCTATTACAGACCATCTAGCAACAATAAGTAATTTGAGACGTTGTAGACTACAAGCAACTAAGGTGTAAACCAAAATAAGTATTGCCGTAAATCACACATCTCCACTTATTTCTTATTTTTTGTTTCACAACTATATCAAACTTGCATTAACATTCAAAACAATTTTTCACCGAAAAATACAACCTCATAGATCACAAAACAATAGTGTAAAAGATATAAATAGATACTTATCCTAAGTGTTATTTACTGCGATAGAGACAGCATCCATAGAAAATCCTCTCCAAAGTTTTATATTACTAAGAGATGTATAGATCTACCGTTTGTACGAAAATCGACCAAATGGGAGGACAGTACTGTTATTGTCGACGGTTCAAATAATGATATTACTATTCAGAAAGCTTCTTGTATATAGGTCGCGTCTGATTTTTATACAGTACCAGATATCTTACTATGGATAATATAGAATAAGAAATTACGTTTACAAATAAAAATCTTTGTGAAATTCTGTATGGGTCCTTTGGAGTTCGAATATAAAAAGTATTTTATTATATTTAATAATTTTTGTTGCAGGTCGTTTAGTAAAATATGGATGATAGCAACCTCGATAGATTCAAAAATAAAGATGTGCACCCACAACTGAAATCAAACTTCCTGAGCAACTTGTTTTTTTGGTAAGTCAAATGAATAAACCAAAATATGCAAAGAAGTCAACAAAAGTTCATACAAAGACGTAAAAAACGGGATACGGCTTATATTAAACTCCTAGACCTTGACTAGAAATCTTTTTTCTAAGTCGTTGGTTAACGTTTATTAGTTTTACGAATTATAAATGTTGAAGACGATACCTCGATTCCAAAGCTTAGCTACTTATCTGCACAAACCTCAGATTATATAAGTAACTTTTATATGTATAATAATAATGTACTTCTATTAACGTTAATTGTAGTAACCCTGGAGAGGCTAATGACCATTAGGCTCAGCTTAAGCGAAGCAAAAAAGTTTTTTGCTAGAAGCCTATGACCGTGGTAATAGCAGCACCCCAATATTTCACATCTTTAGTTTCCACTAGATATGCCGAGATCACCGATCACTTTAATTATATACCTTTCATAGTAATTTGTACTTTTTCTCTATTAATGAGCTCTTTTATTTTGTCTCTGCTAGCCGTCAAAGTGATTTATGGATAATTGTCAACCCCAATAACACTCAGCATTTTCGAGGTTCTTTCCAAAACATTATAGTATTGACAATAATGATTCACTAGATTCAGCAACAGCAAAGAATAGAAGTAAGAACTTGATATTTGTAACTTATCTACATAGACGATATGTATTCCTCGAATTCGACACTTGCAAAATTAGGATGAATGAAAATTGTAAGCTGCAGACCTTCTTGACATAATACCACCTAGTTCCAAGGCCTGTCGCGATGTCTCTGTATATTGGCTATGCCTCCAAGATTACGCCAGTATTGAAAAGTATCCTAATGATTCTAGCATATTTTATTCATCTTCAACTGCAAACTTTCAATAATTATAAAAAATGAATAAGCTTGAATCGAAGACATAGAAAAATACTCACATCAGATATATCTTTTACTCTGACATTATAGTTGGGGTATACCAATTTTTTACAAAGGATGGAAGAAAGACTTGGACGAGGACGACCTATACAAGCCCTTTACCGAACACGAGTCCGAGAGCCTAGGTGACAGATTAGAAGCAATATGGAAACTGGAGAGACTTAACAAACAGAAACCTGCGCTGTGGAGGGCGTTGTGGAAGATGTTCCGCAAGGATATTTTATGTCACGTGATAGTTTTATTTATTTTGGAGTTCGTTCTCAAGTAAGTACTACACTTGAATTCAAATTCACAAAGAATCAATCCTCAGCCATCTTGAAACAACTGACGCTCTAAAAACATTGCCATTAAAATGTAGGTATCTCGAAAAATATTCGAAGTAGTAAAACCGTTTTACAGTCTGCAAGTCCGTTGTATGCAAGCTCTTGCATTTTTCAAGGAGGCATTGTTTTGTTTAAAAGACAGCTGCATCCAACCAGACGGCCCTATCTCCTCGATTCATGCGAGCAAGCTTAACCAATCTAAACGACTGAAATATTCCCCGTCACATTCCTAACCTGTAATTTTGGATTAGGTCTTTTTACTCTTCCGAACACATAGTTTTCATCATGCTACATCAAAACGTATCAGCAGATATCGGTGAACAAGTATAACCACACAACCCACCGGGTCGGTCTAAGGAAGTTTGCATGAATTGGTAGCTAGTAAGTTACTAACTGTTCCATCAGAATTGCACGAACATCAGTCGGACCACATCTCACGTATCGCCACACGACTGTTCTACATATTTCTAAAATGTAAGGGTAAATGTATTAGGACATCTATGATGAGTAAAATATGTCTAATAGGTGCATAGAATTACTGGGGTTGAGATATACACTCCCCACCCCCTGCAATCCTTAACGCCTACAAAAAATTCCGAAATTGATCGTGCAACGTCAAAAAACGAAGTTTGAGCGATTTTCCGTTTTTGACTTTTGTCTCCGCCGCCACTGAACCGATTTTCAAAAACAACAAAGCGTTTTGCGTCCTTGGCACACTAGTAACCTTTTATGATAATTTCAGTCAAATCCGAGCGGTATTTTCCAAGTTATAGATGGGCCAAGGATTCGCGGACAGACAGACAGATCGACAGACAGGTAGACCGATAGAGCGTGATGTACATGTCATATAATATCCAAAAAAACATCTCATTTTCGCGGTTATACAATACTTCATCGCCAGTAGACGTGGGAAGAAAAATGGTTTTACCCGACGAATATCGTCATATTTTTTTTTTAATTCCAGATTATCTCAACCTATCCTGATAGGTCAACTAGTCAATTACTACGACCCACATCAGACCTCAATCACGTATCGTCAAGCCTGTATATACGCTGGATCAATCGTACTGACTTCATTTTTATTCGTTATTGTATACCACTCGTACCTCATGTCTGTTCAGCACCTAGGCATGAAGATTAGGATTGCCTGCTGTTCGCTAGTCTACAGGTAACATTTCATATTCTATAATTTTTAGCTGAAATAATACCTTAAAACAGATGTAATGAGTCTTCTTGACACTATAACGCACAACTTGCTTGAAATCTCACCAAAGCACATTGTTTTGGCACTCACCACTGATCAACGGATTCCACCAGAAGATATTCAATCACGAACACTAGAGATAAGAGGTTAAACTGCGAAAGGGATACACGTAATCGCATGAAGCCAATCCTGACGCCAAGGATGGTGTGCTTCTCGGAGATCTACTGGGCGAAGAACATGGCAGAAAAAAATATGCAAGAAATTCAATCTTTGCGTGAATTTTACTCGTTGCCATGCCTTGCAGGTTTATTATTTCGTGGTTTATTAATATTATCCAATATTTCTACTTGCAACTCTTCCGGACTGTCAAAATTGCAGTTACTTATAGTCATGATGACAGCAACAGAGAGAAATCTCACATGCGCAGAACCTGAAATTCATTTCCTGCGCAGTGTACTAACTTACTTCATCGTCGACATTTTTGGCTTTAAACCTACTCCATGAGGTCAACCTCCTATATCTAGTATTCGTGCATCCAATCCAATTGAGAGCCGTGCCTCTGCGAAAACAAACATACTACAGTCAACCACTTATCAGGGATGCCAACCGGCGGATTAAGTTCCAAATTGCAGAACTCGTTGAGGAGCTTTTTCGGAACCTAAATTTTAGAGATATTCTTTGGAAAGAAGGGTTTGTTTTCGGAATTTTCAAAGAAGTAACATTTATTGGAAGAAATATCGGCAATAAAGATACACTAACAAGGAACACTTGAAACAAAAGCAGTTCAACACCCGAGAATTCTTCTTATTTCCCTTTATGTCAGATTAAACGTCTGAGATGAATAATACCCTGGTCAGCTGGATAACTTAGTAATGATGTTCTCTCAAAAAATCGGATTTATCGACAGTCGGGGCATCTCGGTGCGGATTAATAAAATTTTGGAATTTGCCGTCTCGGCGGTATTGTCACATTTTCACACAATCATGTGACATCATTTTTGCGTGAAAAATCGGAACTTTTGGTAACCCCGCACAGAACGTTTGCAATTCAAGTGTTGGTAACACTGTCACTTATCCTCAACAATAAATACACCTACCGACCAGCGTTTTTAGACGCTGAGAGACACTGAGGATAGGAAATCTTGGAAATACGAGAGATATTGTGGTGTGAACCTTCCTTAGGAGGTTAATGTTATCTATGAGAGAAGATCCCAGGGCTGTCAGACGATACTTACTGTGTCAAAGACATAACGTAGGGTATTAAATAACGTTTATATGTACTTTTAACGCCTGCGTACCTGCTTGGTAGAGGATCGACAGATTGGTACCAGGTGATGAAATTCAATAAAAAATAAGGCCAACTTTATTTAAATTCTGATGACTGACTTTTATATATACCGGATGTTTCAAATTCGACTTGCACCATTGGGATCTCTGAAACAGCAAGAGATACGAAGTCGGTTAAATAGGGGCAAAGTTGCATATGCTTGCTTAATGCAAAGCACTTCCGGAGAGAGTCGGAAAAAACCGAATTTTCCCAAAATCGTTTTTATTTTTCCATGACTTTATTTGTCGTGGGATTCCAAATTAATTGCACATTAACATTGCCATTTTTTCCTCTACAAGGTGACATAATTAGAATTTCAATATGACGTTTTGTTCCTTGTCCAACATCAACTTTTTTGTCATAGACGCCATACTTGATGGTTGCGTAGGTAAATATGGTCTTTAGATCTGATTCCAAAAATGTAGAATATCTACCTTAATATTGCCAAACCTGAGCAACTTCAAAAAACAGAGTTTCCAAGGTAGGCCTGTAAATTATTAGATAGTCATATGTTTCGAATACCGAATTTATCGCAAAATCGTTGTTTTTTCTGACTTTGAGACGAGATTTCAGAGTAAGTTGGGTGTTGTCATTGACTCTTGTCTATAATATTAAATTTTAAGGAAATAAAAAGGCATGGTGAGGCAAGATTGTCAAAAATTTAAATGTTCTGAAAAATATGAAAATTTGGAAGTGTGAGAATATTGATAACATTGAAAATATTGAAATTTTGAAAATGTCGAAAATTATACAAATTTCGAAAATTTTGAACATTTTAAGAATTTTGAAAACCCGTGATTACAACTGTTACATCCTACGGTAAAATACAAATGTTAGATACCCCTTTAAACGCTTCCTCAAGGAACGTCTATACAAATCCTACCGTTAAACCTTTTTTTATATAAGTCATGGTACCTTACTCTTTAGGTTCTGCCTTCGAGACTTGCAAGAATTTTGAAGAACTGCACATACTGCACGTTTTCTTTTAATCTTAAGTTTGAAACTAAAAACCACAAACATGTATTACCAGCTTTTTCAGCTCCACGTCACCAGATTACATATTTTTTTATTTTCAGAAAATCCCTTAGACTGAGTAAAAAAGCTTTAAGAAAGACTACTATTGGACAAATGATCAACTTGCTCTCAAATGATGTGAACCGTTTCGATAATAGTTTCCAGTACTTCCATTATTTATGGGCAGCTCCAATCGAAACTTTGATCATAATGTATCTGCTGTACTACATGGTAGGATTGACAGGATTAGTCGGATACTTGTTACTTCTGCTGATTGTTCCAGTTCAAAGTAAGCGCCTCCTTAATATTACTTCAAATAGTTCTTATACTAATTAACCTGTGAATGAACACTTAATGAGGCCTCCAAATTCGGAATAGTCTATGACTATTAACAAATTTTCTGCTGAAATGTTGCATCTAGTTTTTTTTTAGTAGAGACAATCCTGGGCTATTCTGATCTAAATTTTATACGTGTGTGCGACCACCCTTACTATACATTAATTGTATCCTTATGCTTAAGGTATTACGCGTTTTAAATTATTAAGTACACAGGGTGTTACAGCATATTGTTAAGAGAACTTAGCACTCAAAAATATTAAAAGAAGCTCCTTCCTTAATAGGGTAGTCACTGATCCCGGGGATTTGTTTCAAACGTTGATGCTATCTCCAAGTGATTCTGAGCAAATGTTTTCTAGTCTATGTCTAGTTAATTAAATAGATTATGATTCGGATGAGTTAGTTAAATACCACTGGAGTAGTAATGAGAACGAGAGAGAAGTACAAGAAGCATGCAATACGTGTGTTAGAAAGAGATAAAAGCACCTCGTTGCCTAGCAACCCGAGTACGAGGTTACGGACGCCATCGACACACTTTTTCTAACATACATATCGCACTCTTCTCGCTCTTCTCTCTCGTACATATTACGACGTCGGTCAAATTTGAACCTTACCGTATATTTATAGCGAAATATGTTTTTTGTTTTCTTATAAGCAATTTCTATTTTTTGTAGTGTTCATGGGAAAGCTAACAACAATTTTCAGAACAAAGACTGCTGTCAAAACAGACGAGAGAGTCAGACTGATGAGTGAAATTTTGGGAGGGATACAAGTTATCAAGATGTACACTTGGGAGAAACCATTTTCGCTTCTAATAGAACAAATCAGAAGGTAAGTCTTATTAGTAGACGTATAGCAAATAATTCTGCGGAAATGTGTAGCGTCAACTGGAATTTGCAAGTTTTATCCTGGAACGAAAGTCCAAGGCTGCCAAATCAATCTAGGAAAAAGCAGAACGCTGTCCCACAACAAAGCAATACGCAAATGCGGATCTTTGATGACACACAGACGTATTGTTTGTCGCATCTCGGGGCTCAAATGAGGTTTCTGGGACCCCAGAGTAGAAAAAAATATGCTTCCTAAATCACAATGCTCCAACTCTCATCAGCCGGGGTCCCGTACGAACTTCGTGCTTCGGACTCCAGTAATCCTATAGTCCATTTACCGAAGAAAGAAACTAAACTCAAACATATTCTCGCATACTTCACGTGATCGTACTCCAGAGCGCCGAGCACGTTATACGGCCGGCGAGGCTGCATGCACCGCCGTGACGTCACACACCACTCCACCTTCCTAGTTTGACATTGGTCCAGTACTAGTATATAGTGGCTCAAACGATCCTGCCCAATAACTTCCTAAAATATATGAACATGCCGATCACGCACTGGGCACGCGCTGGTTGTTATTTTGGCTTAAAGTCTTTCTTGTATAGACAGACTATAGATGCTCCATTGCCAAAACGTGCAAAATACTGATTCGAGCGTTCACACGAATTAACCCTTTTATTTTGCGTCAGCTAGTTCAAGGATGCGCATTTTCCCGATAGCACTACACTACACAGTGTTCTCACTACATAGGAAAACAGCTTGAATGGTGCTCGAGTAATAATATACTTATAAACTATAATTTGTAAATTATGCACTTACAAACTAAATCATCGTGTCCAAGACATTTTTCTCAAACTTCCAAGAAACAAAATTCAACGGCAACATAAGAAAGGTTCCTAGAATCCCATTAAATGTAGCTCGTTAGAGTTAAGATAATAAGGCACTCATATTTTCCATGCTTTTGAGTACCTTCTTTACGTTCTCCAGGTTGAGTTTTATTTGCAAGCATACGCTGCGAATGCAGGATAACTGGTTACACATATTATGCACAGCATTAAACTTATCAATGATAACTAATTACGGTCTTAGAAAAATGTGTTATCAAATATTATCCTTGCGGGATTTATGGGTGGATAAGCGTTCCTCTCCTACCAAACATTTAAGCAGTTCAAAAATCGGATGCCCTGGTATTTAGGCTTCTGCCTGCAGGGGTACTATCGGTATAAAAAACATGCCAAGAGAAGTTTGATGCTCTCCAAAGAAGGATTTGTGCATTGATAGAATCGCAATTACCGACTCTAAATACTTAACTACATGGTATCCCTCTTCACAGCTCCTTCCTCCTAACGTGATATTTCAAAGACGTTTCTCAGCGGGAAATTGCAATTTTTTTAACATGCCATATACATATCTTATGTTTTCGTTTGCAGACTAGAAATAAAACAGATTCGACTGACTACCTACGTGAAGGCTTTCCACGGTTCGATCAACAAAGCCCTCACCAGAATCTCAGTCTTCATGTGCATCCTCACCTATGCTTTTTTGGGCAACAGCCCCAGTGCCGAATACGCTTACGTCATCTCCTCCTTCTACAACATCCTGAAATCCGCCATGACAAACGACTTTCCTCAAGCCATCACCCAGCTTGCTGAGACCCTGGTCTCGCTCAAAAGAATCGAGACCTTCTTGCTCTGCGACGAGGTTCATACCACCTCCAAAAAATATTCTTGGACCAAGAAGATCCACACGTCTACTCCTTTGATAAGAGATTCCAGCAAGAAATCGGTGGGAATATATCTGCACGATGTTTCGGCAAAGTGGATAAGCAGCGTTCCTGAGAATACGTTGAGCACCATCAACTTCAATGTGGGGCCAAGACAGTTAGTGGCTATCGTAGGTGGTGTTGGTTCTGGGAAGACTTCTTTGCTCCATGTTATTATGCGAGAATTGCCAATCACAAAAGGGTAAGGAATATTGTATTTTTAAGAAGGGTAAAATCAGCTTTCAGTTCTTCTAAGTAGTGCACCTCAAAACTCACTTTAATAACGTAGAGTTCTTTTATTTCCTAGGCCATAAGCGTAGGATCCCAATCATAGAAAAAAGTTTTTCTACAGTAATAATAATAATTTTTAAAAGTGGCCCGAGACATCGCCGCTCGGGTGTCAAGCAACATCCAAGTAGTCGCAGTGACATGGTACTGAACTGTAGATTCAATTGAATCTCTCATTTCCAAACCAATCTGTCACATTATTATCAAAATGCTTCTGTACAAGGTTTTATTTAACTTGACCTGTTTGTATGTTAGTATTATGTAAGTTACTTTGTTAATTTACAGATGGAACTGAGTTTATAGAATAGTTGGTGAAAATTTCTACCAGATAGATGTTGATAGTTTGAGTGTAGGTCAATGACTCAAAATACAAACGGTCACGTTAATTTTAAGCATCTCTTCATTTTTCACCCCCAGGGCCTTTTATCTTATTGTTGTTATTAATAATCTTCTTTAACTTTAATATTATGTAGCCCAAAAAAGAAGTTTCATTGCGGTTCATTTGTCAATGATAGTTTTTAGTATCTGCCGAAAAATTCAAATTCCAGGACTTACGAAGTTCTTGAAATGAGTGACGATTATACTGCAAGATACGCTTTCATTTTGTTCTATTTATGAAATATATTGAGAAAATTAAGATCACTCATAATAAAAATGTATAGCCCAATATTGGCAAATCTGGGACGAGGGTAAAACATAAATGATTCAGAAAACTTTTTTAAATTCGCAGTACAGTTAAATGTTTCTTTTCTGCGATCTCTTTGTCTCTGCAATATATTTTTAGCTTTCTGAACTCTTAGTTTTGCTGCACTGCTTTTTGAACGTCAGCTTCTTTTAGGATTTTCTGCTCCTTCTTCATTAAATTCCAAATTTCTCAGCATGCCACTGTTCGCTACTAGATAGCTTCTTTCATAGATTGTCTTTTATTGAAACAGTTCCAGGTACAAAGATGTAGTAGGAAACATATCGTACGCTTCCCAGGAACCATGGCTCTTTGCCGGTACCATCAAACAAAACATCCTGTTTGGAGAAGAATGGGACAGTAAGAAGTACGAACGAGTTATAAAGGTAAGCTTAGGTTTTGATTTTTTAATGATACTGTCATTAGTTTGAAAATTTTTTCGTTGTCAGTAATATAATTAACGAAAACTGAAAGATGATCAGAACATACCCAAACATCAATGTTACTTTCCGAATGCTCGGCCAGTTTCGACGTATATCTTATGTTTCTCTCGGATTGAGCCAAATATTTTTTATTTTGTTTTAGTTGATATTGAGCTGTAATTTTAGGTTTGTGCGTTGGAACGGGATTTCGCCACCCTTCCTTACGGTGACAGAAGCCTGGTGAGCGACCGAGGAGTCTCCTTGAGTGGAGGTCAAAAAGCTCGAATCAACTTGGCCAGAGCAATCTACAAGGATGCAGACATCTACCTTTTGGATGACCCACTCTCCGCTGTGGACACACATGTTGGTAAACAATTATTTGAGGACTGTATCTGCGGATACCTCAAGAACAAGTGCACGGTATTAGTTACCCATCAGATACAGTACTTGAAGAATGTCAGCAAGATCTACCTTATGGAGAATGGTAGTATTGCTTGTACGGGGACTTATGAGGAAATCAGGGAGTCCAAGGTCGATTTTGCGAAATCATTCGCACACCAGGTAATATAAACGATGTCCTACAATATTTCAATTAGGTCAAGGAGTGATTACTTTAAAGGTGTATTTTTTCTGACACAAGATAAGGTTAAAATACATATCAACCAGAAATATTATTTCCAATAACAATGTCTTGTAAGACCTTGAAGAAAAATCAATTAACACCTACGTCCATGTTTCTGTTATATACTAAATGACATATAAAAAGAATTACTTATTGAATTTTGATAAAAACTTGTAAACATATTTGCTATCATCTTTTGTGAAAGCTTTTTTTGTCATATCAGGATCCGAACAATACGAACATGTTTATTTAATATTGAGTGATTTTCCTGTGTTGGCTGCATTTGTTTCATTGTTATTTCATTGCATTATCCTGTCTATAGTTCGCAGACGAGCTAATTTCACTCAACTTTCCGAGTTTGAGAGGGGTCGGATAATCGGGTTTCGTGACGAAGCTACTGTAGTGAGATGTTGTCGAGCGTGGTTCCAAGAAGGCCGAAATTGATTAGTTATAGGTACTGAATATCAAAGACAGACTACAGAGCGGCAAGATCATTATTTGAGGCAGCTAGCACTTAGAGATCGATTTTTCACAACAAGGGCAGTTGCGAACCAGTGGTTTGATGCCGTCGGAAGAGCAATAACAATGAGGACAGTTTATCGCCGAATAAGGTCTTTTGGACTGTTTTCATACCGTCCCCGTCTTGAAGCTTTGTTCTATCATGTCAACGGGCTCTGCTTCTCAGAGCCCTCCTCCATGATGTCGCCTGTCAGACAAACCGGCCTCTCATCCTAACCGTTTCGAACTTCGTACATCCAGAACTGGCCGATACGACCACTCCCTATGGTGACGAGATTGTGGAACAATCTGTCTGAAGAGGCTTTTCTCAGTTCTACTAACCTTAGGCAGTTACAAAATTGGATTAACAAGATATCTTTAACCTCCGTATAGTAGCCGCGGTGTCCCGGTATTTAGGCTGCTTCGGTAAAAAAAATACCCACAGTTTTGACAATAACAACTGAAAAATATAATATATACCAATTGACTGATTTTCTATTGAATTGCAGGTAGATCAAGAAGAAATAGCAGATGGTCTGGATGACGACAGTTCAGAAGACAAATACTTTGGAAACATATCCGATGATGAGCCATCCGAAATAAGAGAAACTAGAAACACGGGAAAGATCTCGTCGAAAGTGTACAAGAATTACATAAAATCAGGGGGTGGTTGGTGTTGGACCATCATGGTGCTCATCATGTTCGTGCTCACGCAGTTTGCTTCTAGCCTTGCTGATTATTTCGTCAAGTTTTGGTAAGTTAATTTATACCTTTTTTATATTCTACACAGTATTGCAGACATGGATGTTTAAACATCGCCTATACCAGAACTGGTGAAATATAAATTGATTTTTACGTGTGCATAAATTTCCCTGGCAGTATGTTTAACACCGTGTATTCTCATTTCCGAAACCCATCGCTCATGGGCATGTCATCATTCTGCCTTGTTAATATTTCAAAAGGCTGTATCTATATGTGAAATGATCTTTTACAGGGTGAACCTTGAGCAAGTTCGTACAGAAGCAATCAACGACAACAAAACCTTATACGAAACCTACCCCGATGGCAATATCCCCAAGAACTACGAAAAAATTATAATATTCTCGAGCCTTCAAGAACCGTCTGAGATTTATGCGGAGGATTCATTTTTCAGCAGAATGAACTGTATCTACATTTACTCTGGAATTATGCTGTTTGTAGTACTTATTCCGATTGTCAGATCAGTAGCATTCTTCAGGTAAGGATAATTAATTTTATAAATAACTATTCAGCTACCTATGATATTGCACAACCCATACATATAGGGAATGTAAATGGCAATACCAGCTAGGCACTGTTCACCAAATTTAACAAAGCTAAATGTATCAGCGTTGCATTTACACTGATTTACACTCCCTACGACGATTGAGCTGTGTAATTACATCTTCGGGATGATGTTCAAAGTAGAGCCTCAGTTCAGTTCAAGTTGAATTTCCACGTTTCATACGCAAAATTCAGTTATTCTTGTATCTCGTAACAAGCACTTGAAGCACAACGTTAATGTTTATTGCAGAATGTGTATGAGAGCATCCGTGAGACTTCACAACAACATGTTTGCGAGAATTTGCAACGCCACCATGTTGTTTTTTAACAAGAACCCAGCTGGAAGGATACTCAATAGGTTTTCCAAGGATATCGGTTGTATAGATGAAACTCTGCCCAATGTTTTAATAGATACCATCCAGGTAAGTGCCGTAAACTCATGAAAAACGACTAATCGAAAAAAGTAACGAAAATTGTGATTTTTTACAAAATGATATTTTAGTCCCCCCCCCTTCCCCCTGTATCCCAATATAGCCCCACGGTACCCAATGGGTGTTTAGGCCTTCGTAGTAGGAGTATAAAAAAAATGTTTGATGTTGCAGGTTACATGCAACTTTACGAAAAAGTGTGAAAAAAGGTTTCCGTTCAACAGTCTGTTTATTTAGCTATTTTCAAAACATCTATATGAGCATTTCTTGCTGAGATACCAAATTTTTGACAAAGGATACTTTCGGCTTTGAATATCGATACCTCAGGAACTAATCATCGTACAGAAAATCTCAGGGTGGTTTCAAAAGCTGGAATGGGTTCTCTAAGGGGATTATGGAAAAAAATTGTTCACCCTTCACATGAGCTGAAAAAAAATGGGAGAAAAGCTTTTTTTGGAAAAAAAACTATATTGCAAAAATTGACAGAATGGCGAATTCATTTTGATTATGTCAGAAATTTTGGGTGCTACACTGAAAATAAGATTGGCCGCGGCCATTCAATTGATGCGGATTCACTATACGCACATAACACCTACTTTATAAGTGAATCTGTAATGCTAAGGTTTATCACTAAGTTTATAGCGCCATCTCAGGGACATTCTTCGAACTTTTTATAGAACCTATACGAACTGTTATTATAGAACCCTTCAAAAATATCGAATACCTAGCGCCATCTTTGGACTTCCCTATTACACTGTGGCGCTAAATTTGAATCAAATATTCAAATTATATATAAGGTATTTTAGGTAAAATAACGCTCAACCTGATTATGTTTTTAAAATGTGTATTTTTTTAATACAATACATAAAAAGAACAGTTATGCAAGTTGTTAGGAATCTAAAAGTAGTCGGTATTATATTACCGATGTACTATCGCGGGCATAAGAAACTTGAACAGCATCCTATTGTTATCAGGCATGCATTGCCAGGGATCTCTTATCAGTGTGACAGTGCCTTGTTATCTCTTTATAAGATAAGGTCATCCATAGTTCAGGAGATATGCGATGCCCATGTGTTTTCTGCACGTGGTAGTACCTATGTAAAATATAAAATAACAATCTTCTTTTGAACAAATGAGTAATTAATTTATAAAAGTAAAAATAGGAAAATTTTTAACTAAGTATTAAGTTACTAAAAATAAAATTGAAATACTCTTAATAAATTAAAAAATAAATTTCAACGTGTCTAAGCTTTTTCAAAAAAGGAATATACTGAAAGTAATTTGAATAAAAAATAAAAATAGCTACCTTTAGCAGTTGCTGAACTTCTAGAAGGAGTAGTTAACTTGATGTCTTCAGATAATCCTGCTTTTGGGCTATAGCTTTCAGCCCAGCTTTCACCTATGAATAAAAAAAATAAAAATAAAAGGAGTTGTAAACCACATAAAAATATTTGACTGAATATTATTTTATACATACAAGTTTGAAAATTTATTTGATTGAATTAAATTTAAGTTTTTTTTAAACTGAATACTTGCAAAATATATCCTGAAACATACTTACATCTTAAATGTGATGGGGGAGATGAATTCAAGTCTTTAGATGAGCCTGGTCTTGGATGTTCTGAGGAATGTTCAATATTACTATATATATACATATATACAGGGTGGCGCAGAGGAAACGCACGATTTTCACCTAAGCATAACATTTTTTATTTTCAAGATAACTTTGTTTCAGTTACAGCTAAATAAAGTAATGATAGTGCACTTTTAAACTAATGATGGTAAATAACGTCACTCAAGTGTCGCCCTGCTTCGCGCTCACACATCTCCAACCGCTCTTGAAAGTTGTGCATTACACGTAAAATCATTTCTTGTGGTATTCTTGCAATTTCTTGACGAATAGCAATTTTCAGTTCCTGTAACGTACGAGGCTTGTGAGGGTACACTTTATCCTTAAGGTAACCCCACAAAAAGAAGTCGCATGCGGACAAATCTGGGGAGCGTGGGGGCCAAGGGACATCGCCGAAACGGGAAATCACATGTTCAGAAAACATCTGTCGAATCCATTCCATTGATGCTCTCGCTGTGTGAGCTGTGGGACCGTCTTGTTGGAACCACAGCTCTCCCATGTTTACTTGTTGCCGTTGAAGTTCGGGTAACAGAAAATTTTGTAACATGTGAACATAACGTGCTGAAGTAACTGTTACTGCTCTTTCTTCCTCTTCAACAAAGTAAGGACCAACGATACCTAATTTACTGATTCCGCACCACACAGTTAATTTTTGACTATGCAAGGGTCGTTGGTGTAGCTCTCGTGGATTTTCGGCCGCCCAATACCTACAGTTCTGCTTGTTTACATATCCTGTTAAATGGAAGTGTGCTTCGTCACTCATCATTATGACGACGTCAGGATCGTCAGCAAAAATGGCCCGCATTCTCGCACAAAATTCTCTACGCTGTGCAAAATCGCTTTCCGTTAGCTCTTGCACGATCATTATCTTGTACGGATGATATTGTAAATCGTCATGCAGAATGCGTTGTAACGACCGACGGGACATACGCAGAGTTGGAGCTTGGCGCCTAGTGGACCGTTGGGGACTATCAAAGACCGCTCTTCTCACTGTTTCGATATTGCCTGGAGTCCGCACGGTACGGGGAATGCCAGGTGGCTTCCTCTTCATTACGGATCCAGTACTTCGAAATGCTTCAACCCATCGGAGTGTTTCGATCTGGAATTGGCCCGTGGCGTTCAACATTGAACTGTCGACGGAATAAACGTTGCACGATCACTACAGAATCATCGTTTCGAAAAAATTGCTCGACGGCAAACACACGATGCTCCGTCATCCACGGTGCCATGGCTGAAACTGCATCGCATCGCATGTGTTCTCTGCTGGCGGTGCGTCGAGGTCATATCCCTATTCTGTGCGAAATACCATTCGGTCAGAAAACATGCGTTTCCTCTGCGCCACCCATATATATTTACTAAACATTTTCCTAATACAGTAGTTTTTCTTTTAGGACTTGTGTGAGTATATTCAGTAGTACTTTGGATGTTACACTTCCCTGTTGCTGAGCCGTCCTGGTTACCTGAAAGTTAATTTTTTTTTAAAAGTGTGTCAACTAATAGTTGAAGTAATTATACATACATATTATAGCTCTAACTTTATTAATGTACATTTTGAACAAGTTTCTACTATTTATAAATCTGTCACTATCTAAAGTAAAATAACTATTTTTAAAGTTACCTTCTTCATATATAATGTTTTCTTGGACCAACTTGGTGTCTGTTGAAGAACTCTTCAATAGAATTGTTTTAAGGGTCTCTCTCATTTTTGCAGCCAACGGATTAGCAATTTTCCTACTACCTTCATGAGTTTCGGGACTACTCTGAACATTTTCAGAAACCGTACCTAAACAAGAATTGAATTTCATTATATGTTTATAATGCTAGTTTTTCAAAAAATTGTGGAAACCGTAAACACTGTGAAAGTTGTTAGGATACCAAAATATTCGTATCATCTAATCCTGATTATTCACTGATTGGTTTATATATGTAAACAAAGTTATTACTTACTTGAAGATGTAATGTAGGAAAACCTGTTTTCAAACCTCTCTTGGTTCCAGGCACTTTATCATTTTTCGAAAAATGTAAGTCACACACCAAATGGCTTTTATAAATTTGTTCGTCAATTTTATTGTCCAAAATTGGATTTGCTCGATCCACTTGTTGAAAAGTGCGGCATCATATTTTGGAAATGTATGCCATTTACTGATTGTATCAGTACAACCAGGCACCACGCACTTTTTAAATCCCCGTTTTCGATAAGCCTCCATTACAAAAAGTAAGTTTGTGAATTGAAATTCAGTTAAGGCTCAATGAATATCAGTATCACCGACACAGAACTAATAAAACGCCGGCGCCGCACACGATTCAACTTTATAACCCTTAATTACTCGCATGAAGAACATTACATAACTGCTCGCATGGGGTCACAGGTGACCCCAAGTTGTAAGATATTTTTTTAATATATATTAAATATAAAATGAAATCAAACTATTTTATTATTAAAGTGCTTTATTTATATTATGATATTTAAGAGAAATAACATGAATTACTATCTAATGAAAAAAAATGAGCTTATATAAAATAATAGTTGAAAATTAACAATTTGTACTTATATCAAGAGATCAAGGCAAATTTTTATGATTATGTTAGGAACTATCCGAATCACTTTTCTTGCACTGGTGACAGTATATGTCTGAGTGATCATTGCACACAAATTTTGTGCACTTTTTGCATTTAGTCAATAGTTTTCGATCACTTCTCCGCGGGCAGTTGTTGCAACGCCCACGTTTTGCAGTGGTTGGTGGGGCGCGGTTGTCCAAGTCATGAACTTCTATAAGTCGTTTCTTTATTACTTTAGGAGTTGAATGGACGCCTCATGTGAGTACGTGATTTAGTGGTATTTGCCCGATGTACAACGAGAGCATTTATGCATGCAACGTTTATAAGATGGAAGAAAATAGCTAACGGCCATCGTTTGGTTCGCCTTCCTGCGCTGTATGTACCACACAAATGATCATTGGTGTCCACTCCTCCTTTAGTGCTGTTGTAATACATAATCATTCCAGGCTTCTGCTGATCACCTGAACCTGGGCCGATGTAAGCTCCATGGTGCATGGAGGATAACAACACAACAGCTTGATTTGGTTTTGGCACATTTGAAACCATGGTTAGAGTCTTTTGAAATCCGAACAGACAGCTGAATTGACTTCTGTCTGGTAAAATCTCCTCAGGTATATCGGGTTTGTTTTTCTTCAGTGTTCCAACGAAACATCTCTACACCGGTTCCGTCGGTGGCCCAGAGATCTATGAAATTGAGATGTGAAGCTCTCAACACTCCAAGCATGATCAACAAACCCAGCAATGCTTTTATTTCTTCAACGTCTGTATCTTTTGCGTCACGTTCCCTTTGAAACTTGCCTCTGACGACTTCGATGTACTGATTTGTACATTTTACCAGCAAATTGATAATGTCATCAGAAAAAAACAAACTAAAACATTCCAAAGCAGTCTTTGCGGATTTCGCTGATGACTTGACACCGGGTAAGTGTAAAGTTATATTATGTCTTCGTGTTCTTGCGGAGCTTGTTGGTGGAGACTTTGACCATTTTTGTTTAGGACCGTTTCTGCCATTATGTCTGGTAAAATAGAATTTATCATACTGCCCTGCACAGCCGTCGTCCTCGTTGTCTGAAGACTCACTGGAGTGTGCGGACAATTTGTCGATTTCACTAGCACTATTATATCGCTTTGTGTTATCTCGTCTAACTCCGACTCAGAATTTGACCCTCCAACTTGTTCTTCATCAGAAGCCTCAACCAACCAGTTCTGAATTTGTTCTCTTCTATCCATGACGAATTCTGGACACAGACACAAAACTCATAGTAAAACGTAATTTTTCGGTACTTTCATTTTATAAAACTACACAAAACATATTTATTAAATAAATTTATAAACTGGACATTCAATAATACAAATCGGATCAATAAAACACAAAAAAATACATAAAATAAGCAACTTACCTTTTTCAAAAAAGTAACGTAATTAGTCGCACGGGGTCACTGCTCAAAAGCGCAACGACGTGTCCTTAGACTCCTGTGACATCGTCGCTACTAAAACACAAACGTCGACGCGCGGTCCTAAGCTAGCGGGGGCGCGGGGAAATTAGGACCGCGGGAAATCCTTCGTTTTTGAATGCGAAACTGCTTTGACCCCATGCGAGTAATTAAGGGTTAATCAACGTATATCAACGTCAAAGTATTGAACTGCCAAAAAGAACGGAAAACCTAGTATCAGCGCCACTCTGTTGTTACACTCCGTAGTAAGTATATAAGAATATTTGGTTGCCTACAAAACGTACCTTCAAAGTCACTCATTTAACTTATAAAGTAGGTGTTATGTGACTATACGTACCACCAAAATTTAATCCGTTTGGTGCGAACAATCCCATATACATATGTGGTGAGAATTTGTAGACGCGTACGCGTGTTCTCTCTTATTTACCATAAACTTCTTCAGTTAATGAATGAATAATTGTTGTTTTCAGATTGCATGTAATGTTATTGCCATAAATATTGTCATAGCTACAGTAAACATGTGGACCTTAATACCATCAGTTTGCATATTCGTAATCTTCTACATGTGCAAGACGTTCTACGTGTCGTCAAGCAGGAATATAAAACGAATGGAAGCTACAAGTAAGTATCGAACCTAACTACGTACCAAACATTAATGTCCAAGTATTGTCCAGTGCCGTTAAGATCAAACAGGGTTCATTAGACAAATTGATATTCAATAAAAACTCTTTGTGTTACACCCTGTATAAGTATGTAAACGGCTGTTCGTAGGATTTTACATGGTATAAAATATGAATCTAATCATAAACAACAAATCGCTTTTAGCACGTAGTCCAGTATTTTCCCACATTCACGCGTCCCTACAAGGCCTAACTACCATCAGAGCCTTTGAGGCACAAGAAATACTAAAACAAGAATTCGACAGACATCAAGATCTTCACAGTTCAGCCTTCTATATGTTCCTTGGATGCACCAGAACATTTGGATTTTGGCTGGACCTGCTGTGTGTAGTATACATTGCAATGGTAACGCTCAGCTTCTTCTTTTTCAAACAAGGTAAGTTTAAGCACGTCAACAAATTGAGACAAAAAACTGTCCGCCAACATCCATTCAGTCAAAGGGTCTCCAAAATGCTATTTTTCATGCACGAGTCCTAAAATATAATAATAATGATGATAAACGTATTCTATTGAGGGCTGAGGCTAGAAGCTATTCTACTACTCACCCCTTAAAAAGTCCAAAAAACAATTATAAACATGTAAAAGCAATATACCTAAGTACAAATATATATTATGGTAGTCACAGTAGATAATGAAAATTAATTATACATATTAAATAATTTGCGACGTGAGGGGTCAAACTATGCTGGTGGATACTTTTCTAAAATAAAAATAAAAAAATGAGGTTTTGTGAAGAGGCATTATGAGTCTCTAAGTAAACCGTATTTCTCTTCAATGGAACGAATTTCAAGGGATCAGTTTGTCCTTCAGAAACGAGGGAATCGAAGTAAACAAGAGTGTAAGTTGATAGTTTTAACTCATATAGCTCGCTCACCTTCAACCATCCCAAGTCTCTCAAAGACTCGCTTATATGGTCATATTTTCTCAAATTATCTGTCTGCAACATGAATTTTGCAATTTTTTCAATTACTTGTAAAGGTGGAAGAGGCATTGTATTTAAAAGGGATTGTATACTGTATCGCAGTAAACAATTTTGGGCATTAATGATTCGCGTAAGACTCTCTTAGTTTGATAATTGAGATAATTGAGAATTTGCTTATTCAGATATAACTGACGTAAGATCGGGAAGCAGTTTTAAGTCATTTTGTTTACATAAGGTACATACTTGAAACACGCATCAAAAAGAATTTCCAAGTTTTTGACTGTCACACTAAGTCGATAGTAGAATATGTAAACAAACAGTGAAGTTGTTTTTAACATGTTACGCAATGTACCGATAGCACAATGCTGTTACCAAAAGTTCCGACAGCCATTCCCAGGAGCGTATAAACGTAAGAACCCACTAAAATACGCGTCTTCATTATTTCAGGTGATTGCTGATATCACGGTCGCAATACAGTTGGTCCACCATAACGTTTTAGTATGGGGCAGAAATACAATACGATAACTCTTACTATACTGAGAACTTTATAAAAACTATGTTTTTTTTTTTCAGAAACGTATGGAGGCAATGTTGGTTTAGCAATAACACAAGCAATCAGTCTCACAGGTCTGTTTGGCTACGGTATGAGGCAATGGAGTGAAGTAGACAATTCTATGACGTCGGTAGAACGGGTGATAGACTATACTGAAGTACCCCAAGAAACGAATGGAGACAAGAAGGATCCACCAAAAAGCTGGCCCGAAAATGGACTGCTTGAGTTCCAATCAGTCTATTTGCGATATGCGACTAACGAACCTTACGTACTCAATAACCTCACGTTTAAGGTAAGCCCTAAGTAAATATTTTTTTTAGAATCTCCTCGGCCTCGACTCTTTATTCACCATAACATTTTTGATGATGATTTCTTAAATACCGCCATTATCATCGATACTTCCGTTACTGACAAATGATGCAAATTGTATCTTAAGTTCCAAGCAAAGTTAGAAATGGCACTATTTTGCAAAAGTTGTATTGATTCCTGCAATGATTTTCTAATCCTTTGTCTTGATTTTCAATATCTATATTTCTAAGTGATATCCATACATGACGTGTTTGCAGCGCCCACTGCGATATTTTAGCAGAGAATTACAAATATTCCTGTCTCTTCTAGATCAAACCAAAGCAAAAAGTGGGAATAGTAGGCAGAACCGGAGCCGGAAAGTCATCACTCATCTCAGCTTTGTTCAGATTGGCAGATGTCGAAGGGAAAATTCTAATAGACGGGATAAGCACCGCTGATATACCTCTCAAGGCCTTGAGGTCCAACATTGCTATAATCCCACAAGAACCAGTGCTGTTCTCAGGAACATTGCGTTCAAATCTAGACCCGTTGAACGTGTATCAGGATGCTGAGCTTTGGAATGCTTTGGAACAGGTTGAACTCAAAGGTTAGTACAAATAATATCATTACAAGTAGTACAGTCAGAATGACAAACCTATCTCTGCCGATGACCTGATGAAAAGAAGACTAGCAGCGACTTCCTCCCTGATGAGGTTATAACAATTTGGGGACGCAAAAATATGGTCTAATATCTCCAAAGCACAGTATTATTTCGGCTGGTCGGAGTTCAGATCATCGAAGATTTGATCTGGCACGAACAAATTTCATCAATAGCAACAGCTAGACTATTTGTTTAGGGCTAACCTCGTCACCTCATATTCGACGATGCTCTGAGGACGGCGCCTACGCGGACCGTCGGCGATCCAGCTCTCTACCGCTATGTCAACGGACTATTAAAGAATGGTGGGGCTGGAAACTGTAGAACGGGAGCAAAGCAAGTGGGCAGGCAGAGCAATCTGCTGATCGCATCTATCACCGCTGCCATGACAGTTGACAACAATCACAAAATATCTTTTCATAAACAGAGGTGTAGCTAGGATTCTTTTTTTTATACTCCAACTACCACGAAGGCCTAAGGCCTAAACACCCGTTGGGTACCGTGGGGCTATAGGGGGATACAGGGGAAAGGGGGAACGCCACACGGACTCTCGGAGGGAACACATGTGCATGCAACATGCACACATTCTGGCTCCGCCTACGGTGGTACCTCCGCATTCGACAGTCAGAGACCGTCTACCACCTACGGACAACCACAACATCCATAGTCAAGAGAAAAATGTCTCCTGGGATGGGATTCGAACCCGCACAGCGCAAGGCGACTGATCAGGAGACCAAAGAGACTACTACTGCGGCCACCGCTGCTGCCTCAAATGGCTTCATGGGGCTTTAGTGCCAGATTTTCAATGAGGGCACATCATTCCAATTTTTTTCTTATTTAACAACGTCATACGAAATAAAAAAAATAGAAGTAACAGTAACAATTTGTAGTGTCCAAATACCCTACCTACACCCAGTCAAAGACAAAAATACTGAATGTTTAATAACATTTTAAAAAAGCGTAGAATGTATTATAACCATGCGTTCATATAGGTAGGTGGAAATACTAACTTCAATATTCGAAGACTGATGAATTTTGAGCAAATGTGCTAAAAACGCAAATAAAATCAAGTGATCAAATTTAAAAAGTCGCACCGTTTATAGTCGCTCATTATTTTCCTGACAATAAACCGTGATAATAATTCTGATACCCTCTTCCAGGTGTAGTCAATGATCTAGAATCTAAGATCTCGGAAGGCGGTTCCAATATGAGCGTAGGACAGAGGCAGCTGGTCTGCCTGGCAAGAGCTTTAGTCAGGAAAAACAAAATACTCGTCCTGGACGAGGCAACTGCCAACGTGGATCCTAAGACAGATTACCTCATCCAGAAAACCATCAGGGACGAGTTCTCTGATTGTACGGTCCTGACTGTAGCGCATAGGTAAGATGAATTCTTTTAATAAACCAAAACAAAAAACACAATGATCCTTCTCTATTATGAATTTTGCCGTGTGTGATTTTTGCGAATATTACTTTAATAATAATGGTTGTACGTACTATCAATAAAAAAGATTGTTTGAACACATGTTGCTTCTTGACGAATTCTTTGTTAATTCAAAATACGAGAATTAGGGAAGAATTCGCGACCGGGCATTCTTGCTACGTTTCATTTCGATAGTACTGTCTAAGAAAACCAATAGCTTGCCAATCTTGGCTTGAAAAACAAGGTTGAAATCACTAAAATAAACTAATCTCAATATGTCCTTCAAGGTCTTGTAGAGCAAAGTTTTAACTTTAATCTAGATTCTTGGCGACCTCAAAAATTATGATTTCTTACTGAAATTTTAAGCACTGAATATACCCGCTGGATAACCCATATCAATTGAATTAGATATTTTTTTAAAAATTAGTTACAATTTGTTTTTGTTTGTACAAGTTTTTTGGGTCATTCTGACCAAAAAATAGACTTTGATTAACTTTTCTACAAAGCTGACCATTTTCGAGTTATAAATTTAAAGTCTGAAAAACCCTAAAAATGGATATACTCCATGATTAGAAACTCGGTTGAGAATTACAGTTTGTAAGTCATTCTCACCATTTCACTATTTTTCATTTTACTTTCAGGCTGCATACTGTGATGGATTCTGACAAAGTACTGGTAATGGACTCAGGTTCAGCTATAGAATTCAACCATCCCTATATCCTACTGCAGAATGTCGAAAGTGTTTTCTATGGTTTAGTTAAAGAGACAGGTATAGGAATGTTCCAACATTTATACCAAATCGCAGAAAAGGTAAATAATTATTTATAATAGCCAGCTTATGTTTCTGCCCCTTCAGATTTATTATCTGAAACCTAAAATATTAAAAGTTTTTGATTTTGTCGTAAATTGCTCGAAACTTCAACAATACATTGATTTCGGGAAATCTTTGAAAACATTTGTAAATAGTCCTGAAATAACATAAAATTTACTTTAACCAACATATTTTTTCAGAGTTACAGAGCTTTACATCCAGATGCAGTAGTCGCGTGAAAAATTATATTTTGATGCTTGGAAAACAAGTTACTCCTTGTATGTGATATTTATCGTTTAAGCTTTTGTTGCCGTTAAGTATTAAGAAAAGCATCTCTAAGAAAATGTACATAATTTTACTGTAGGTGTTTTATTTTTAAGTGTACTACTGTTACTTATACAGTATTTAGTATAGTTGTAAAGTGAGATTGTCAAAAAAACAACGTAACAGAAATGTGCGTTGCCACCTCTTTACTGTTTTAGATTATATACTTTTAAATAAATTGTTATTTTTAAACTAGTTTTTTCAATCGAAGCCCGAAAAAATTGACGTACATAAAAATGTGGAACTTCTAGCTCCGAAATTCAGAATAAGTTTAAATTTGTTTGCTATGACTGGGCTATTGGAAGGATGATTGCAGATTTGTTGCAGATCGAAGTTTTTTAAAAACAGATAAAGATTGCCAGTAAATGAAACAATGCAGTCGTAAAGCGCAAGTGCAGCACGAAAGGTACAATATACAGGTGCGTACACTGACATGACATTAAGGGTGAATGCTCCTCAAAAACATCTTAACTAGATAACCGGAATAATACGGTTAAGTTTGGTATTAGCGATAGTAAAATTCATAATCAAGAACTGTTTCAGTTCTTGCGAGAATTGCCCTTGATAGACCTCCCCCGTTTTTTTCAATAGGCTTCACGAACAATTGAGTGAATTTCCAAAAGTATCTAGACATCTGCAATGGATCGCCAATGTTTCACAGGAGTATGGATAAAAAATCAAACTTGTTATACTTTACTTCAAGCTACTTAAAATCACCTGAATGGTATCGTTATTGATATCGCATCCTTGACAATAAGTGTCAAACACATCACACATCTTTCCTGGAAATAAAGTTCATTATTAAGCAGGCAATGAAGGTCAATCAAAATCCATGACTTGAAGTAGAATATTGTGGGAAGGCTCTTCGAGGATATAAGCCATAAACCTTGAAATAGATGTTTTCAGGCTCTTATGCTGGACAGATTCAATAGCTGAAATTGCATTCTGATAAACTGGCGACCAAACCAGTGCATCATATTCCAGTTTACTGATAAAAAAATGAATAATTGAATATATTGCTTTAAGGCTATTCACATGAGCAAAACCCGACCGGTTTCTGACACAGTATCATTTTATTTGCTGAAGAGACCATTGCACTTATATGCTCATAGAACGTCAATTTACTGTCAAATATTACCCCTAGATCTCTGAATGTATGGCATGTTCTTAGATTTGTGTTCAATGTAATAAGGAAACAGTATAGGATTAAGCTTGCGAGTAAAGCTGAACATTTTACATTTTGCTATGTTTGTATTTAGTTTGTTGTAAACGCACTATTTACTCAACCTATTCAGATCTTGCAATTCCATACACTTACTGTAATTTTCAATTCCACTAAATATCTTCAAATGGCTTCAATTTAGATAGCTGAATTACCAGGGGTTAATATATACTAAGTGACATATAAATCCGAACACCCAGTTTAAATGGTTTTATTTTAATAAAAGTTGGTGAATGTATTTATCTTACTGTAAATAACAAGTGAAAAAATTGTCAGCCTTATCAGTTGGACATTCCGGTTTTTATACTGCTTTTTTTTAATTCACTAACGCTATAAAAATGAATATTTCCTTTACGACTTAGTGAGTTTGATAGGGGCCGTATAGTGGGACTTCGGGAAGCTGGACTTTCTTTTCGGGCAATTGCAGTTAGAGTGCAAAGAAGTGTAGACACTGTGGTTAGGTGTTGTCAGGCATGGCTTCGAGAAGGCCGTACGCAAAGAGCAAGGGGCACTGGACGCCGCCGTAGAACAACAGACCGTGAAGATCGCCGCCTAAGATTATTGGCCTTAAGGGACCGTTTCTCCACTACCAGGTCCATTGCAAATGAATGGTTTGCAGAACACGGAAGACCTATTGGCATGCGAAGTGTTTACCGACGAATGAGAAGTTTTGGCTTGTTTTCATACCGGCCACACTGGGTCCTCCCTTTAACTCGAGAACACCGACGTAATCGCCTGAGTGGTGCAGACAACGGTCACTCTGGGATCAGGAATGGAACAGTATTGTCTTTAGTGACGAGTCTCGATTTTGTTTAGGCATGCACGATGGTCGTGTCAGGGTTAGAAGGCGACGTGGTGAACGGAGGAATCCACAGTTTTTTGTTAAAAGACATGTTCATCACACTGTTGGAGTTATGGTTTGGGGTGCTATAGCTTATGGTTCCAGGTCACCTTTAATCTTCATCTTCATCTTTCCAACAAGATAATGCCCGACCACATGTTGCAAGAGTCACAATAGACTTCTTTCAACATAATGATGTCACATCAGGGTGCATCCACACATTATTAAAGGTCAAAGGGCTTTAAAACAGTGCAATCATTTTGAAATTTTTATCATTTACTTATTATGCTTCATTAAGTACTTATACAAAATTTTATTAAAATTATACCATTTAAACTGGGTGTTCGGATTTATATGTCACTTAGTATACCTATTAAGTAGAAAAGGGGCCAAAGATTTGATTCCTGAGACACCTCTGAAATAGGAGTATGAGACATAGACGTGTAAACCCCCATACTCGATGACTTCTGTTCGGTCTAAAAGACTACATCAGGGATACTAATTCTTCAGATATTCCGGTTGATCGTAATTTTAATAAAAGTAGTGGTCGATAGAGTCAAATGCTTTGCGGAAATCCGTGTACATCTCGTCAACCTTGACAGTCTAATATCTAATAAAAAATAATTAAGGGAGCTAAGGGAAATAAATATAGAAAAGCAAACATGATTTTTGGCAGGGAGGTAACATATGGACAGGACATTTCGGTTAAGAACGGATTTTGTGGCAGGGACGAAGTAACGGGCATGCAAGTTAACTGTCAATTTATTAATGCAATGCAATTCTAGCAATACATAAAAACAATGTTATATGTTAGTCACAATTTAATGCGTACGAAGTCGCGGGTATTAGCTAGTGGATAGTAAAGTTGAATCCCCTGTTTACCCTCCTATGAAGCATGACGCGGGCCTCACCGTTCCCATAGCAACGGTTGTCACACTCTGGTCGCCGCACGCTACTTGCACAACCGCCTTAATCAATCCCATCCCCTACATAAGGGCCGGTCAGGTACCTACCCTCATCTGCCGGTATTTTTCTCCTATAATAATTCTGGCGTTGCGATACAACGATAACAGGTGCCGCGTTACTTCCGGAGTGTATTAGTGTTAAGCGATTCCAAGTGTAGGACCGACCTAATGGTCTAACCAAAAGTAGCTTGACGTTGCACTGTGACCTTTGAAGGGGGGTGTACCTGGTCGAAGTTTAGATTCACGCTCTATATCGCAAAATATATTGTTGAAGTTTGAGTCCGTGGTAACATGGTGCTCTTTGAGAAAATCGAAAAGGGCTTTCGCTCGAATATTCTGAAACTAGATTTGGATAGCAAAAAGATTCCCGATAAAGGTAGGATAAAATTTTATACAACTATCAACATACTTTAAGGTATCTGGGTTTAGTATAAATCACGCGTTTCTTCAAGAATATTTTTTCATTAATGTATCCATTTGAGTTTTATGAAGATCTTCAAACCAAAGAAGAATAGCTTATACAAGTGATCAAACGGTACAAGTATATAAACCTCATGAACTGGAATAAACGGCGGTCTTAGAATAAATTACATGTTGATTAGGCCAAATAAGCTACTACAAGAAAAGTATTATGCTTCAGTTCATTTTGCTTGCATTGTTCAAAAAAAATATTTGCTGTAACTTCCATATAACTTCTTTTCAACCAAATACAGATAAACGTTGTCTAGTTGTCTATAACTCAAGTTTAACCAAAAAAATCATCAGTTTAGCTTATTCTTGCCCTATTGTAACAAATTATATATTCCAACAAGTATTGGGGTCGGCAATACCCAAACTGACTTAAGATACACACATGCAAATTGCAAATGTATTGTACTACATATTTTTTTCTTCAACTTTCAGTCTATAGTGATATGAAAAAGCAGGACTCACTCGAAATCAATGGGGTGGTAAATGAAACTGAATTGTTATATTTGAACAGTCTCATGGATAGCCCTATTTTAAATTCAGTAGCTAGGGTAAGTAAGCATGCCACTACAGGTACTAAGAACTAGTATTTGTTTTTTCAATTTTTGCTGTCAACTTTGTCATATATGTATGAAAAATATACAAATATAATGCTCAGTATTTTTATTCGCTGTAAAACTTGCTATTTAATGAATACTGCAAATGTGTAGGTATATAAAAGAGAAATTTTGAACAGCTGAACTGACCAGATATAATTACGAAAATGAAAAAAATGCCCACTATTTGGAATGCAGGAAATTTTCGGCATCAGCATGGCTAGGTATATGGTTTTTTTAATGCTTAGAAATTAAATATCCTCAAAAAGTTATTGATACAACTTAGTTCTGATCTAAATTCCAAGCCCAAATTCACTGACCTATAGTGGAGCAACTTTGTATCAAGTGTTGCCTAGTTTCTGAAATACCTTCACTCCTATAGAAAGAAACTCAAGCAAACAGTGACACCTGTCTAAAGGCGCGTACACATCTGGCGAACGCATGTGGTCGAAGCTCTTCGATCGAATTCATTCGATGATTTCGACGTTCGATGGAAAATTTGCACTGCCATCCACATTACGGTGAACGAATTCGTTTGCAGTCATTCGTCGAGGTTCGCGGGTATTTTTGTAAATGGTAAAAAATGGCGTCCGATGATGAGGATATAATTATTGCAAGTGCGTTGTATATTATTATTAGTGAGGCGGAGACCGAAGCATTGAAAGAGCCCCCCAAGAAACGACGAAAACGGCGCTGGTGGACAACATCATTGTTCAAAAGCAGAAGTCGGTATAGAGGGATGGACTTAATTAGTGATCTAAAAGCTGAAATGGAATACGGACTTTTTGTAAATTTTTGTAGAATGAAGTCTACTGATCTTGAATGGTTATTAAATGAAATCGGTCCAAAAATCGCGAAACAAGATACAAAGTTTAGAGAAGCAATACCGTCAACAGAAAGGTTAATGTTAACCCTACGATATTTAGCTACTGGTGACTCAGTTTAATGTATACTTTTAAAATTTCAAAACAACTCATTTCAAGGATAATACCAGAAGTTTTTGTAATCTTTATGCACTGGATTCCATAAAACTTCCCGTTCTCGATATAAACCAATAAGTTTTAAACAAGAGGAATTAGTCCACTCCATTATCGCTAAATAGAAACTCAAAACAAAATGACCACGATAAGACACTTAAAAACTGAAAAGCGTACACACTAAACACAGCCAAACGAATTCGTTCTTCAATTTTCTTTTGATGTACCGCCCAGTGACCGAACTCTCGCGAAGGCAAACACATGCGTTTGTTAAGTCGTACACATTTACCGACGGCGTTCGGTCGAAAGGCTTCGGCCACATGCGTTCGCCAGATGTGTACGCGACTTAATGTGGTATACATACACATACCTGTTTATTATTATTCTCAGGTAAATACAGTTGCATAGTTCTGTGATATCGAAGCCAAGCTTCGCATTTTTTTGTCAAGCTACTGTCTGATTAATTTTGTGTTTGTTGAGTTTTGAAGGGTATTTAATTAACCTTTTGTTACACCTGTGAAAATTGTGAAATAGCCTGAGGTATGATTAATAAATTTGAAATTGACCACGTAACAAGCTTTGCTAACGTTTTTGTCAACTGAAAGAATTTAAGTAGAAATCAAGGAACTTTTGGGAGTAATCTGCCAACCCAGCCCATATTGTTGACAAACTCATGAAGGCATATTCTTATTTACAATTTTTTTGTAAATTGTTAATTGAATTTGGCAATGATTCATCACTTGACTGGAAACCACGCCCCCGTTTATGTATTTTCAACAATTGCTATGGACAATAATTTAATAATGACATCAAGTAGGTTAGGCGTGTCAGTTGTTTTATATTGCATCTTGTAGAAAGTAGGTCTACTATGTTTTTTAGTGTTTTTTAATCAAAGTGAAATTGAAGAAGCTTCCTTTTGGTAAAAATTCATGTTTTTGTGAAGCATATGCACGACTGAAATTGTATTATTACTAAATTATCTTGAAAAATATTTAAGGCTGAAGAAAGTGTAAAGGAACCACTACTGTCTCCAGTCCCTGTAACATCCAACAACAAAGACCTGCTCCGAGAAGTACAAATCAGATGTAATCGAGCATATAGTAGAGATGCAAGAGAGTTAGCTGATCTGATAAATAGTGTTCATTTTGTGTCATTGCTGAACACACATGATCAGATAGCTCAGGCATATCAGAAAGGGGATAAACATTGTGATACTCCGAAGCTATTTCCTACAAACATGACTGGGGACACAACATTCCGAATGGTTGGAGTTCGCAAGAAGCCTGGAGAACCTTTGGGCTTAACAGTAAGTTAATGTACAGGGTGTTTCCTCAGTGAATGTCAACATTTAAGCGGGCGATATTTGGGTCCCTTACAAGAAGAAAACTTCATATGAGCATATGTCCTGTACATCTTAACCTTTGAGGTACCAGCTGGTAAAGTTTTCAAAAATGAACTGTTAGCTATTATTATCAGTGAATACCACTTTAGATATTTTATTGGAATTTGGAATATTTCTACCATGTACAAAAGGCATTTTTTAATGTGTTACATTTTTGTCTACCAGTGGCATTCATACAGAATTTCACCTACCCACTTTGGCAAACATTGATGGCATACCACTGAATTCTTTTAAAATAAATTTGATCACTTGTTTTTTGCTCACTCTGATGCTTGGTTATTATTTCAAAAAATTAAAACCATTCATCAACAATATTTTAAGTGAAAACTGTACTCCAATCCCATTTGGCAACATTGCTGCCAACTTGAAAATTGTACTGACTACCATAAATGTAATTGCTTTTTGGTTGTTGGAATGAAAAAATCAACAAAAAATGATAGCCAATTTTAAAGAAAAAAGTAAACTTTTTTTTAATAGGTGGAAGTTAACGAAAACAATAATTTGGTGATAGCTCGAATACTAGAAGGAGGAATGATAGAAAAACAAGGTCTGCTTCATATGGGAGATGTTATATTTGAAGTAAATGGAGTACCTGTTTCATCACCAGAAGATCTACAAACTGAAATCTCAAAGAAAAAAGATCATGTCACCCTGAAAGTAGGAAGTTCTACACCTTCTGAAACTCATGCTAACATTGTGGATGGAACTGGCCAGAATGGTCTGACAAAGAAACTGACTGTAAGTTAGCAATAATTGGAACCACATGGTCTGAACAAATTCTGTTCCATTTAAATGTTAGAAAAAATGGTTATCTATTTTAAATTACCATTGATAGTAGAAAATTTTTAACTCTTTTATTTTTGCATTATTCACATAAAGCTTGAAACAATTCAGCCTTATAATTTTAATTTTCTCCTTTTCTTCTAGTGTTATATGAGAGCACTATTTGAATACAACCCCCAAGAAGATACACTTCTGCCTTGTAAAGAAATAGGATTGCCTTTTGAAAGAGGGGACATTCTCCAGATAGTGGACCAAAGAGATCCAAATTGGTGGCAAGCTAAAAAAGTTAGTGGAGATGGTACAACAGGTTTGATACCATCTGTTGAGTTGGAGGAGAGACGTAAAGCATTTGTTGCTCCTGAGGCAGATTTTGTGCATAAAGTCAGTATATGTGGTAAGTTGTCCATCATACACTTTTGTGTGATCAGCAAAAACAAGAAGTTCTGTGTAAGTTATGGAAATTGTTCTATACCTTTCCCAGTAAACAAAATTACTTGCTATGCTTGTTCGAAGAATGTCCTCTAATAGCAATATCACGTTCTAAACACATGCGTAAATAAATTACCAAAGATACAATAGAATGTGTATTGCATATATATTAAAAACACCTATTAGGAGCAGATATCCCAATGAAGGATAATTGACAACCCAACACAGCAAAACCATTTTTTCATAATGAAATGCGTATATCACATGTATTTATGTAAAGTGAAGGGCACTTATATCGAATTTTAAGGGCGCGTGCATCAATCAATGAAATTCAAAACTAAGTTAGTATATTGCTAAAAATATATGAAATTGACGACTTCAAAAGTTCGTGAGATAATATTCTTAATTATGAAGCTATACAGCACAACTACATTCGTAGTACGACGAATTTCACATATTTTTAGCAATAAAATAACACAGTTTTGAATCATCTCGGTTGATGCTTGTCACCTTCAAAGTCTATTCTACCTTCCTTGTTCTCTTCATATACTTCCTGCGTCTCTCCATCATGAACAGTTTCCAATTTCTTCTCACTACAAATTAAACTTGCTCTTGGCGATGTTTTTTGGAGTTATGTTCTTGCAAACACCATACTCAATTGACACAATGACGCTCATTAGTCAGATGAATAATAATTATTACAAAGCTTACTTTTTTAACAAAAAGCACTGTCATGAGCGATAGGCCGAAAAATTCACCTGGTGGATTCTGATTTAATTCTGATGTCTCGTGACGAGATTTGCATCTGCATTATGTTAATATACTATGCAATTCCGTTCCATATGTTCTAAATCGCATATTCTTAGAAAGTCAGTCAGTACGTGCTGAGAACATGATTTCTTAGGATATCTCTAAATATAAAACGTACACTTTAAGAATGTGAGAATATACCTTTTCGTGTTTACTAGGTATGGTTCGAATTGTAAAGGGACAACTTCAGAAACACGTTATGTTTGCTGAAGACTTTTTCGGGGAAGATTCATTTCATGAGAACCAAAAAAGAAACTGCAACATAATATTTTTATTGTGAGTTTTCTGAATCAATCTTTCTCTAATACTAAGTTTTTTTTGTAGGAGCATGGATATCAAAGAAAAAAAAGAAAATCATCTACCAATCAAAGTCAAGTTCCGACTTTGACAAAGCTGAACTATTATTATATGAAGAAGTAACACGGATGCCTCCTTTCAAAAGAAAGACATTGGTTCTGATAGGCATACCAGGCGTAGGTCGTAGAACTTTGAAAAACCGCCTTATCAATAGTGATCCGGAAAAATTTGGTGCTGTAATACCTTGTAAGTGATTATATATTTGTGAAAAAACACATACTATCACAATATTTTTTAAGATACCACCAGACCTCCGAGAGTTTTGGAGGAAAATGGACAGTCATATTGGTTCGTTGACAGAGAAACTATGGAAGAGGACATCAGAAATGCTCAGTTTCTGGAGTATGGTGAATACAATGGACACTTGTATGGAACACATTTGAATTCCATCAGAGAGGTGATAAAACAGGTAAAACATCACTTTATTTATTTCTATTTGGCATTTTATTTGGTGTTTGTCTTTTAGGGAAAGATGTGTGTATTGGATTGTAGTCCCATGTCCCTAAAGATCCTCCACAACAGCTCTGAATTTTTACCATATGTGATTTTCATTGCTTCTCCTGGTATGGAGCAGCTGAAAAATTTGTATGATGTTGGTAGGAGCAACACCAACTTGAGACATTCTAGTAGGAACTTGGCGGTAAGTTCCATTTTTACAAGCTTTTATTTATCTTGACCTGTTTGTATGTTACAAGCTTGTTTGTTAGTACGTGTAGGGCAAATTTTGGAACTGAATTTGGAACCAGTTAGTCTGAACCAATTGAACTGAAATTTTATAAACACGTTTGGCTTGCGGGATAAAACATAATCAGTTAACTATCGCGATTTTGAATCCAACATGGCGTATGCTACAAAATGGCGATTCAACATTTCCTCAGTAACTCCTATAATACGGGAATCAAATGAAAGGACTTGATGAGAAAACACAATGAGCAAAGTGTCGTCATTCTAAATGCGCCCCAACATGGCGTTTTTAATTTTTAATTACCATAGTCACCCCTATGATATAGGTATCAAATTAAAGGGTGTGACGTCATTCCAAATCCAATATGGCGGCCACCGTAAAATGACGATCTATAATTTGTAATAGTCACCCCTATATGTATAAGTAAATAAAACGTAATTCTAAATTCCACGTGGCGATGACCGCAAAATATCGATTTATCGTTATATGATTTATGTTTATCAAAATTTCATATTACAAATAGAGTAAAAAGTTTTATGGACTGCCATTAATAAAATATATGAAAATTATATTTAAGTTACCAAACTAGTTATTTGACACCATAAATACTAAAAAAATAAATAAAACAAAACATTTTTCCTATTGGAAGCTCCTTCATCTCAAGTTTATAAACAGCTAAATAAATGCTTGTTTTTAAAAATGTATTTTTATTTTTGTTATCGTTTATTCGGCATTGTTTATGTTTTATATAAAGTGATATAATGTTTAAAATAGTTCGTCGAGTATTTCTGGAACATCCTCATAGTTGACTTTAGACTTTTTCATAGAAATAATGCTACGTTCGCAGCTAGAATGCTAGTAGTAATAGTTTTACGTATTTATTGGTTACATTCAGTGGCACCTAGATGTTACAAGCTAGCACAGCATGAAGTCGACTGAATCTACTGACAACTAGCACAGCCACTCGTGTCAATCAATTTTAAGGTTTTCAGAATTTTCACAATGATCCATCGCACGCCCATGATAACGCGGCATCTTTTTTAATATGGCGGGACAACCACGCGACGACTTTTTCAGTTTGAAAAGATGATGCCGCGTTAGCATGGACGTGCGATGTGTTTCACTACTCTCTTCCTTTTCGGTTCCCAAGTATAGGCTAAGCCATTCTTCATGCAGTGCCAGCTCTAAGCAGTTGAACTGTAGCTGAACGTGACGCATTATTTTTTTTATCTGATATTGTCATAGAATATCTAAACGTGATGTGGCTATATTTTCTTGCTGTCCTACTTACCATATTATTACGATAGATACCTCAAGTTGGAGACTTCTATACTTCAGACATAAGTGTATAAACAAACGAATCAAACACCAAATGCCTATTATTACTCATTTTATAGAATGTGTTGTTAGTCTTTATATTAGAGTATGTTTTGTTTGATGTCGTAGTAATCCCCATATAATTTGCATGGTTTAGTTTGAACGCCAAAGCTCAATACGCTACAGTTCTAGAAGAGCAAGGACATTGGAGTCATTGGCATCACTATATGAGGTAAGTATTGTTTGATATTTCCACTAAAATGGAAAATCACATATTTAGTCTTGAGGAACAATGCTTTGTTTCACTGAACACTGATAATGTGGGAACACATGTAACAATTGTGTTCTAATTTTAGATTTAATAACAATGCGAATACTTCCGTTACAATAATAACAAATTGTTATTAATTTTCTGTATCATTGTACTAATGACTGACGATATGGCTACACCTTTGCGCAACATTTTTCTGAAGGTTTTCCGCAGTTTTCTGAAGACTGAAATTGGGTAAAAATGATCACGGATTTGTTTCAGAAGACATTTAAAGTAGGTCAGTGTGGTAAATCAAACCCTTGTTTTTAACCCCTGCAACCTCCTGAAAGTGGATATTGATAAAAATGAGTGAAAATGTAGTTAGTAATACATTACTTTGCCATTGACCAATGTTTCCAAAATTTGGTGATGGTATTGTCACTATTTTAAGAGGTGGTTGCGGGCAGCTGAGGGCGTGGGGTGGTTCGTTTAAGGTAGAATCGACTTAGTTAAAAACGGCCTTATTAACCATCCTCCGTTACAACGGTAACATATAATCGTTATCACGCTGCACAAGGTATCTTGGACTATTTAAGATTTAAATTTAACTAAATTTTCTGCTCTACCACAGGACAGTTCACTTGACTCCTGATATGCTGTCAGTGCTAAAGCCAAATATCAAGGACAATTTTATGTTTGAAGAAACCAATTTGAAATGACATCCAGTCTCCTGCATTATGAGCAATGCCCGGAAAAATAATTTCGTCTACGTTTCCAGGAAGAAGACCTGAAGCAGTCACTGGAAGAGAGCGCCGCTATGCAACGAACTTACGACAAATACATTGACTTGGTGATTCCGAACAATGATTTCGACGTAACATTCAGAAAAATCGTGGAATCTCTAGAAGCGCTCACTACGAAGCATCAGTGGGTACCAGTTAACTGGATATATTAGGAGGAATAAACACATTCACTATGTCCCAGAAATTGAACCATAATCTTACAGCTGAAAATAGGTCACGACTATTGCAAAATTTTGTTTTATCAAAGGTCTTGTATAGTTTGAGATAGTCCACGTATTTTTTGTTGGTAAACTACTCTATGTTCAATGAATCCCAGTCATTTCAACAAATACATACATTTTTGGACGATTTGCTTCAGAACACTTGGCAATTACGCATTTCATCCCACCCAGTATTATTTTTGTGAGAAAACTAGATAAAATGCATACCAAAGTCTAAATTTTGATGAAAACCCGTTCTCAAATCTGACTTTGACACATTGAGAGAATCAAGTATGATTTCTGTGCCAATTAGTCGAAAAACTTGGTCAAAGAACTACTTAGTTGTGAGTATTCTGAAACAAACCTGGTCCAAGAATGTTGTTATTTGTAGAAATGGCAGGGGATTAACTGAATAGAAGGCAATTATTCATAAAAAAAAGTTAAAATGCTGAAAATCTCGAAAACTACAAAACTTTTGAAGAAACAAATTATTTGCAACTGCAGTATTATGCTATAATTTATGGGTACCTATATACCAATATTGTGGAGCTAAGATCTCACTTTACGTGCATATGTACAAATCGCAAATTCACGATAATAAATCAAATATAATTAACGCCGAAAAAGTTATAGATTATGTATCTTTGCATCACTAGGTAAGTTTGAAGAATATTATTCAGGTAAAGCACAACCTTAGATGGATGATATCATGGCAAGAGAATTATTATATAGGATACAAATCGAAAAGATAATAGATGAGAAATTTAAAAAAATATATATATAAAAATAAAAGCAGTAAGCTGTTGTTGAGAATATTTGATATTGACATACAAATCTTTTATATCTTCACTAAGTCGAATATTCTTGGAATACTTAATATTTATAAATTCCAGAATAAGAGTTTCAATTCAAGTACTTCTTGAGTTGGCCTAAGTCTAGTATGTTTACAATGAAATTGATATACTTTTTTGTTTCATAATTTGATAAGGAAAATTCAGTATTAATTTTAGTATTCAAAAGAGAAATATAATTAACAAAAAATAACGCCTACACCCACAATTAAAGATATGAAGGTGCCAGGCACAAAACGTATAATTTGACCATCGGAAATTTGAAAACGATGTGCGCAGCAGGATTGACATCTTATGTGTGCGCTTCTAAAGTATTTGGAGATATACAGGGTGTTGCTCAGTTCTATTGCGCAACATACATGTTTTTTTTTTAATCAGATAACCGTTCTAATAAAGCAGTATTGAACCTGTAATCAGGAAATACGCGATTCTGATGATGGGAAAATATACAGCATGTTTCATTTAAAATTTTTGAGAAAAACGGTTTGCAAATTTGCAGCACCCTGATAGAATTGACGTACGTTTTCGTCCTCTTTCCAAAATAAAGGATAGGCATTTCTTCAGACAAATGATAACCAAACAAATGACGATCAAAATCCTACAGTATATTAACCCATCAACGATCTTGTGTTTGAAAGGTCTTTCAAAAATCTATTAAAGGGTGTTCCATTAAAAAAACGTTTGTTCCGTCACGGAATCATGCAACACCGCTTTCGATATCCTGTATAGCTTTTCTATTAAACAACTTTTCATTTTCATCAGGACACCCTGTATATATTGGGAGTATTCACGTGATTTTTAATATATCGTTTAGTTCCCTGAGTACATTGAAGACGAACTCGTCGTTAACATAAAATGGTGCAGGCAGGCGAACCGATAGGAGCTAAGGCACCAAACTTTTAACATCTCCAACAGAAAACATATCTGTGCCCATTGGAGCATTTGATCAACATAACATGAACTAAACTCTATACGAATTTTATTTAAAACTGTTTGGTGGCTCAATTACATATGTTTTGTGACTGATACTTTGTGAACTACAGTGTATAAGATACCTAGGAAAACATGATGGAATTAGAAAGTTTTAGGCGGACATAGCCCTGTTAGCTTGTAGGCATAGTAGTATATATATACTATAAAATAACGCTACCGTCCTTCAATGAGATTTAGTATAGTTTAGTTATACATATTTTTTATTCTTCACAAAAGGTGTATTATATTTTACACATGTTTCTTTATAACTTTATATATGTATTCAAAGATATATTTTTTTGTGTTCATATGTATTTGCTTCAGGTACATATTATGATCTGTTTTGTATAGTTATAAAAATATATGAGGTAAGTTTAAGTAGTTTATATTATTGAAAGTTGAAATGGTGGGAAAAAACATTTAATTGAAAAAAGAAAAACACGGGTGCTTTAAAACACGATATGATGAAGTAAGTACTACAAAGAAGTGAATTTACAATGGCAGCCTTTCTACAACGATAGTTGCCATGCTGAAGTGATAACTTCCTTAGCCAAATAGAAACATGCATGTTTGCAGCAGATCATGCCCTTGTAGATAGATCATACATGATTGCTATTTTGTGTTCACTCATTGAAATAAAAAACATTTTATTTCTTATCATTGAATATCGTCGCCCGATAAATAGAAAATGCGAGAAAAAATGTACAAACTAGAAATAGGGTCAATATTACAACTGCAATACTTCTTTTTTATATTCCAATTTTCATGCTTTAAAAGTATTCTAAAGCACCAAACATATTACATCAATACATTGGCCTAACGTTAGTCGATTTTTACCAAGCTTGTATTTTTGTAGCTGTTTCGACTTCATAAATAAAATATGAAAATCCATGAGTGTTTTTGTCATCAACATTGAGAAGATTTTCTTCAGATTGAGGCTCATTAGTTACCCTGAGTGTGCGTCCATATTGCCAGCTTAGCGCGGCTGCGCCTACGGGCACGAAATATCAAACATTATGAAACGCGCCTTTGCGCCCATAGTGTAGTGACGAAGACGGAGGCCTAGGGCGACGGGACTTGACAAGACAGCGCGCGTAGCTTTCAAACGTTCCTGTTCCGCGCTTTCTGGCCACACTACGGGCCTAATCAGCAAGCGACCTAACGCGCGGAGGCGTTGTCGCTCGGCGTATGCATGAGTATTCGCGTATTGTAATAGCGGATACTGTATTGTTTATACATATGTGCAATTCAATCTAAACCACCTATTTGGCAAAGTAAACATCCACACCACAAATATTTTATTTGGGATGTAGTCAAGTTGACAGGTGCTTTCGAGTGTACTCAAAAAAATTGGTAGGGTATAATATCGGTTCTTCATACAAATGAAAAAATTCACCCTCTCGAATGTTCAATGCCCATCTCAGGATCGGACTGTCTAGCAAAAATACCAAATCGTCGCCCATAGTTTGGAACTTCCGATAATACGTCGAACCAGTCAAGTGCTCGCGAGTCATTGTGGACACCGCACGCCGCGCCCGCCTTAGGCCCCAGTCACCGCGCTTTTAGTATGGATGCACACTTACCATTCGTGAGTGCATTACTTACTAGGAAAAGGCACGTATACTGACTAAATCTCTCTGTGTTAAGAAACTTCCTATCCTTATACCAAATTTGAAGATTTGCAAAAAAAGCAAGAAAAACACAAGAAGTGTTTGAGCAACCTCGACAAGAGTTTGTTACGAACTTGGACAATCCGCGCATGCCCTTCAATTGATGAAAATAAATGAAGATAGGATCTTCTTGCAGCGGCAGAGAGAGCCAGATCGACCTGGTGGTCTAGCTGGAGTCGCCAAGAAATTAGCCAAAGAAGAAAAGGCGCGTCTTAGGAACGCTCAAGAACAAAAGCGGCGAGCTAAGTACCTTGCTTCCTTAACTCCTTCGACATCATCTTACGAATCAGTGCAAGCAAATTCATCTTCAGATTCCGAGATAGATTTACAACAAACTTTGCCCATCCCAGCTCAGAGCACACAGCCACTAATCAAACTCATATGAGGAAAAGTTTCATAACTCCAAAATTAGTGGCAGCATTAGATAGGTGTCAATTAAGTATGAGAAATGCTGTTTTTATTATTGAAGCAACCATTAGCAACCATTGAGGCACTTGGACATAAGACTGACGACTTTCCTATAAGCAAGTCCTCAATTCAAAGGATTCGTACCGAAAAGCGAAAGGAGCGCGCAGAAGCTATAAAGCTTGATTTCCAAAGCGAGGTACCGGAAACTGTAACTGTCCACTGGAATGGCAAATTGTTGCGACCTTTAAATGCACGTAAGTCTAAAGAAGAACGTCTACCAATTGTGTACCCACATTGGATAACTCTTAAGGCAGCGAGCTGGCTCAGGCAGTTTGGGTTGCTATTTTTGACTTGAATCTTGCACATAAAGTTCAGATTCTCTGTTGTGATACTACTGCTCCAAATACGGGTCGCATTAACGGTGCCTGCGTGCTTCTCGAACATAAACTTAATAAAGAAATACTTATTTCTGCTTGTCGCCTCACGTCTACGGGTTGATGTTAAAAGGAGTCTTTGAAACAAAGATTGATCAAGTGACTACAAGCCCTGACATTCCAATGCTTAAAAAGTTTCGCGAGAGCTGGAAAAGATTGAATCCCGAGAAAATTATACTGAAAATATATCATGCCTGAATATTTCAGAGACTGACAAGCTGTAAAAATTTTATCGACATGAAATGACCAAAGAAGTTGCTGGAGACGACTATTGAGAATTAATAGAGCAGCTCTGTTAGATAATCTGCCTGTTCATCGTGATAACATACGTGAAACTGTGATTGCGATGTACTTTATCGATAAAAGCACCTAACCAGGATTTATGCCTTTTAAAGTCAATGAAGTCTTACGAAGGAACTGACAAAACCATTTCAAAGGCAGCTTTACAAAAGTTCTGCCAATATTTATGATATTTGATAGACGAGGTCTTATTTCTGTTTGACGACGACATAGATGAGGAAAAACGGTTGCTAATTTCGCAGTCCACGGTAAACGCTATATCCGATCGAAAGAAGAACATTCTGGTCCACTTTATGATTAAGTCTGACGAATAAATTTTCTTTGGCTTCTTTTACTGCTTCCATATAATATGCTAACTGTTAAATTAAGCCAGCATAAACCACTACGAGTACTACAAGTGAACATAAAGCGAACGACAGCTAGTGGTGACATTTTTTCGGTAATCGATATAATGTCACTTTTTAAGTTCAGACCGGCTTGAAGCGTTTGCAAGACAAGTCAAACACCATCCGCACATTTGCGCTTGTGACGACTTGTTGAGGTTTTCCTCGCGTGGACGGCATTAGATGTTTCTGACATAAAAATGATACTTAGGGGAGTATGTTCCTTTTATCCCCAATACAAGAGTACAGTAATGCATTGCAGGAACATAAAAAAGAGATTAGAAGGGCCTCTAGAGAGAATCCTCGAGGAACTTCTGTCAGTCCATTAATGACATTCCTGCTACAGGTAGAAAACACTTCTGTCAGGATTATTCCTGTGCAAGGATATCAAAGAAAGCTTGGGATCTCTGTCTGATCCGTTGAGATGTAATACTATTTCCGAGGAAGGTTCTATGTGGCTTCTGATGGATACGCGCTTTCCCAGTTCCACAGCAGCTCAATCGATCAGAGAGTGAATGCCGTTGTGCAGGCCCTGAGAGGAGGACTGGTACAAGGCAGGGGAGATTGTCACCTTTGATAGGATGGTTTAGGCGATCGAATCGTTCGCTCCATATAAAAGTCCGGGTTTGAACGGAGTATTTACAGCAGGGTGAGATTCGGTTGTACCTTACCTGTTGAAAGTGTTTCGAGCATGTGTAGCCACGGGCTTCATACCTAGAAGCTGATGGTAGGCTAATGTAGTATTCATTCCTAAACCGGGGATCTTTTGTGCTCAGGACATTGGAAATGATAGTTTTGAGGGATCACCCGCTGGAGAGACGTTCCATTCATTCTAATCAGTTCGCATACCAGGCTGGGAAATTGACTGATCTGGCCTCACATAATCTGGTCGATAAGCTGGAGAATACTCTAGATCAGCGAGAGGTGGCACTTGTGGCCTTTTTAGACATTGAAGGTGCATTTCAGTAGCGAAGCGTCCATGTAACCATTGTTACCATTGGTAATAGTCAAAAATCTTAAAAATAAATATTGTATGACCAAATACTGTGAAATAATTTCATTTATTTGTTTACCAACAGCGATATGTAATAGTAATTCAGTAAATAGCAAATTAGCCCCACGAAAATAATGCGCCCTATAGTGTCTAGGTTTTGCGAACACGATGAAGCTGACTCGCCTCGACTTGGTGGTCGGTTGTTACCACTTTCATTTATCAATACACTTGGTAGTCTGTCGGGAACTGTCGGTACCGGCTCGTGTCTGATCGCGGTCGCCCAAGTGCGTGGGGCGCTGCGACTATTATGTGGGCTTGTTACCATTTTTTGATTTGGTTACTCACTTCTCACTCGTTAGTAGCCGTTTTGGTTACCGGCTGTAGTATGCGTGCAATTAAACATGGATGAGTGTCGCTGCGTAATCGATCAACTACTTGAAAAGTCATTCTCCTTGTATAATTTTTAAGAAATAAAGGAGATCATTGAAAATGGAAGACTAACGCCTATTTTAGATGATTTTAAAAAGAAATAAAAGAACGTAGTTTGATATTTTAAATTAAGTGGTATATGGAAACTCTTGTTTATGTGGTTGTAAAAAACAGATTGTATTGTTGGCGATGTCTTCTGTTTTATACAGAATAAAATGCAGTGGATTTGAATAGTCCGTTATATGTGAGATGTGTAGCCAATTTAATTCAGTTTGGCAAAACAAGAATCGAAAGTTGCCTTAACCAAGCTTTTAGGCAGCACACTTCTAGATACAGGAATTACCGTTCATTTTGAAGGGGATGACTCTGATAATAGAGGAAATTACATGGAATTGTTAAGATTCATTGCCAAAAAATATCAAAAATTTTCCGAACATCTAGAAACGTCGACTGTTTTTTCGGACAGCTTGGATTAGTCATAGCATAAGACGATGAGGTATATCAAGTGCCCCAGACGCTCAGTCCAGGAATGTTTACCTTAATTTAAAAATAGTTTAAATAAAATACCTAAAATAAGCAAAAACTTATTTTGGGAGGTTGAAGTTTTGGTAACAGTTTAGGAAAAGTCACGCGTCGCCACTGGAGCATTTAGTTGCACCACAACCGACTCTATCAGACATGCCTTGTTAATCAACAACATCAACACAATCAATCCTAGTTGATTAGGTCCTATCCACTTTGGAGGGTCGGGTAGCAACATCTATACTGAACGACGTGTGCTGCAGAGTCTGTGTAGCTCGGAGCTGTCCGTAGGGCGGAGTTCTGTCACCCTTATTGTGGTGCGTCGTAGTGAACGATCTGCGCGCTGTGCAATCGTAGTGCAGGGAGGTCGATTTTTCTTTCAATGCTGGAAAGACTGAGATGATTCTATTTACCAGGAAAAGGAAGTTTGTCGGGCTTGTCTTGCCGACCCTCTTTGGGACTAGACTGCTTCTATCCCAAACAGTAAGCTATCAAGGAATTATCTTGGACTGTAAACTGACTTGGAGAGAGCATGTTGAGTATAAGGTTAACAAGGCTCGCAATTCATTGTGGGCTTGCAGACGAGTTGGAGTGAAGTGAGGGCTCAATCCCAAAGTGGCTCTATACGTCGATAATACGACTATCTCTCTTGTACGGCTCTCTGGTTCGGTAGCCTTGCATTGGACCGAGACAACTAAGGCCAAACTCAATAAAATTTAGCGGTTGACTTGTATCAGTATTACAAGCGCAG